CCTGCATCTCTGCCAGGAGCCAGGAGCTGCGGGAAGCCTGTCAGTCTGTGTGTCCCACCCGCAGGAAGATGGCACAGCCCAAGCTCAGCCTCCGTGGACCCTGCCGCTGCGCGGCCTCCTGGGTGCTGCCACAGGCTCCCCTTGGTGCACATAAATATTTAAAACCAGCGGTTTAAGAATAATTATTCTTTCAGGAGGCTTTTATTTTGCAGAGTTGGAAGCACAGTGTTGAAATGAAAATAGGTCATCCTAATGCAGCCGACTGACAATGGGTTTTCTTTCCCCAGGGTTGACACACACAAACCGTCCCCACTGCCTGGCCTTGCAGAGCCCAGGCCACATCCTTCCAAGGCCACATCCTTCCAAGGGCTGCTGCTTATTCTGGGTCACTGAACTGAGCCCCGAGATCCCGGAACCACCTCCTCACGACTTGTCTGAGTGCTCAGCCCAAAGCCCAGACAGAGCCCCCAAGGGGACATCTAATGATGTTCTGGATTGTGTCACCCAATTCCAGCAGCCAGCTCCCAGGAAAAGCCAGGGAGCAATTTCTAGGTGCTGTCAAGGCTCCCATGGCCTCAGTCCCAGGGAGGCTGATGCAGACTCTTCCTGGTTTCCTGGAGACCGTGCCGTGAACGGTCCTATTGTGACACAGGAGCCCTGGCCCTGTCGCATTTGGCTCTACGTGGACTGCATCATGGTCCTGCAGGCTCAGGAAGGATGTTTTCAGGCTCAGGTACGAAGGTAGGCTGGAGGGAGCAAGGAGCAGGCGAAGCAAGATGTCTGCAGGACCTCAACGCTGCTGTTACAGTTACCACAAATTTCAGGGAAAATGTCTGTAAGGTTTGAGCACTTTTTCCTGAAAAATAGAGCTATGATGTGCTCTTCCTCAAGCCCTGACCCACTGGAATTCAGCATCCGGGGCTCGGGACAGCTCTGAGCCCCAGGGGTAAAGCCCTGAGCCCCAGGGAGGTTGGGGCAGAGCAGTCCTTTCACAAGCCAGGCTCTTCTCAAAACAGACAAGTTGCCCCCAAGGACAGCAAGAGGGAAGGTGGGCCCTGGGAGAGTAAAAATAGGGCTGCTGCAGAGCCATGAGTCACCGCTATTGTTACTGGTGACACAATGAGGGCTTCCCCCGCAGCCCTGGAGGGCCACCCTGCTCCTGACCTCTCCTCCCAGGTCTTCATGCCTTCGGGGCCTGGGAAGTGGGTGCCCCAGAAAGTCCGCAGGAGCCGAGGGGAAGGTGAGCCACCCACTGCCACAGGGCAAGCCCTGGGCAAGGCTGGACCCGAACCCACCCGACCTTTCCCANGGCCACCCTGCTCCTGACCTCTCCTCCCAGGTCTTCATGCCTTCGGGGCCTGGGAAGTGGGTGCCCCAGAAAGTCCGCAGGAGCCGAGGGGAAGGTGAGCCGCCCACTGCCACAGGGCAAGCCCTGGGCAAGGCTGGACCCGAACCCGCCCGACCTTTCCCACGCAGCCTGCCTCCCCTGGTCATCTAGGGGAGCATCCTGGGGAGAACCCTCCCTTCGTGCCCAGGAGAAAGCTGTAATGGTAAATCCAATGGCGAAGTTGGTTGGATTCTGTCATACATCCAATGACCCTGGAAACTCTGGAAGAAAGTCATCGCCTGGCTCTGGCTTGCCCTCTGCTGATCTTGTTCTAGGTCCTGCCCGGGCTCCTCGCAGGCAACACAGGGCCCACGCCACCTCCTTGGGACACGCAGACCAGACCCCCTGTGTAAACAGGATGCCTGCACGCAGAGGGGGAGGTAAAAGATGATCACCTCAAAGACACACTGGGACCCTGACCTGCTCACCACCTGTCCCCCGAGACTACGGGTCTTCCAGGAGCCAACACCCCACAGGTGGCGGTGGCAGGCACCACGAATGGGCACTCTGAGAAGCCCGAGAGCCCTTATCACTTTTACTACTCAGAGCAACGCAGTGAGGGGTGAACATGCCCACTTTACAGGTGAGAAAACTGAGCTGAGAGTCCCACAGAGTCTTGGTAAAGGACTTCAGGGCCCTCAGGGCAGGAGAAAGGATGGAGTTCTCCTGAACTTTAACCCCCTCACAGGGACCTTGACCCAGAGTTTCCTTTGTCCCTGAGGATGTCTTGAGACCCCTGGGCAGGAAGATCAAGTGTCAGAGTGGGAAAGAAAGTGTTCCCTCTGGCTTCTGACTATGGCTATTTAGCCCCTAGGAGGAGGGAACCTGGCGGTGGCTGAGCATCAAGCATGATGTGTGCTGCCCACTGGTCTGGGAAGACCCACCCAGGCACCTGTCACCTAGTCAGGGCAGGTGCCAGCCCCTGTTGACAGACATCTGTGCCCAAGTCCTCCCAGGGCCCTGGCGCCCTGGCTTAGCCTCATGAGGTGGAGGGCAGCTTCTCAGCGGTCCAGCCAGCCACCTGAGCTAGAAGGAGACTGGGGAGGGGTCTCTGTCCTCAGCTGGCATCACAGCCTGGCCAGCACCCCTGCCCTGCAGGACCCTGCTGTTCCCTCTATCTGGGACACTTCTGCACCCACTCCCCTCCTGGCCACCCTGCACCGTCAGAGTGCTTATCACACCACCCCATGCCTGCTTGCTTATCTCTGTCCCCAACCATGGACCCCCAGGCAGCCCTGAGCCTGCACCACTGAGGCCCCTTCCCAGCACAGTCCAGCCAGAGGGCAGGAACAAGTCCAGCACCCTGTCAGTTCTGAGAAATAGACACAGCCTGGACATGCACCAGGCAAGAGACAGAGCTGAGGCCTCTGGGGCCTTGGTTCTAGAACAATCCTATCTTCTGGAATGCACCCGGAGCCAGCAGGCGTAGGTGCCTCCTCTCCCCAGGCTGGACTCTGGGAGACTCTGGGAGACCACCCCCAAGTCTGTTTAGTGACAACTTCCCAGACTACCACTGTTTATCCCAGATCCTGTCTCATCTAAAACAGCCTGGAATTGTGTTCTGGGGTTTCAGAATGACAGCCGGAAACGTTCATAAATTAGTGATTAAGGAAACAGCCAGATCAATGCAGTATCTCCGGCCGGCTGAGGCCCAGCTCTTCCTGGTCCTCGTGTTTGAGTGGGTTCACTGCCCAGCTGCAGGCCTGGCAGACGCATCCCACCTGCAGCCTTTACGCTTTGCTGGGATCCCGACAATTTCTGAGCTGTGGGAGGAGATGTGGCCTTTGGCTGCTACTGGCTGAGCCAGATCTGTGTGTGTGTGTGTGTGTGTGTGTGAGACTCAGGCAGTCCTGTAAGCTGCTGTGGGAGCAGAAAGGGTGTTGGGGAAAATGTGTGGAGGCGAGCATGGGGCCTCGCATGGGGCCTCACAGCCATTTATCACCCCCACTGCCCTGCTAAGAGCTGCCTCCTCCCTGCATATGCTCCCTATTGGGCCTCTGGCTGGCTGACGGATTGATTTATCCCCAAAGGCACCAAGGCTGCTTCTGAGCTAATAAGAGTGCACAGTGTCTCCCCCATGTGTCAGCTTAGCAATCAAGAGCTCCCAGGCCCCAGGCTGTCACTGTGCCCCTCTACCTGGGAGTGTCCCCTACCTGGAAGCGCCCCTCTACCTGGGAGCACCCCTCTCCTCACCTTGCAGAGGAGTGGCAGCCTGGGTCACCCACCCTGGGGAATTCACCATCACTGACATCCTGTGTATCCAATGAAGCCTCACCAATATCAGCTACTGTCTGCTCAGCCTTCCAAGGCTTTCAAACAAATCAATGCGACACTGACTGTGATCACCGATGGCCTAGCCCACAGCGCAGCCTCCCATTAAGAGAGAAGCTACTGTCCTGAAAGGTGCTCTGAGGGTCTGACTCCAAGGGAGTCCCTGGCCGATCCATGTTGGGGTGACTGTGGTGGCATTTGGGGGTGCAGCAAAGTACCCCTGCAGCCCCAAGCCCTCTCCCTGCACCCAGGGCAGGCTCGTGAGCAAGTGAGGCGTGAATGAGCGACGGGCAAATCGCAAACCCTGCTGCCCTGCCCTGACCCAGCTCCAGGCCAGCTGGGCTCCCCCCTCCCGGGCAGACTCCTGAGTGGACACAGGCCTCAGTTACTTAATTGCTGAGACTATGAAATGCTGAGAACATGGGATGAGTCCAAATGTTTGTAAGATAAGGGAGCATGTTTAGGCTGGAATCAAGGATGGACCCATGGAGAGAGCGGCGTCAGTCTCCAGCCCTGAGGG